AACCTGTGACTCTCCGTGCACCTGGCTCGTTACCTGAAATAGGAGGGGACAACAAGCATCAAAGCGCTAGTGAGCAACATCACAACCAACCCCAAGGGAGAGGGCTCGTTGCAAATAAAAAATACAGTTAAACATATATATATAAAATCATTGATCCTAACAATAAGAAGATTTTAGTATTTAGAAAATTACAACACGAGCATAGGTACGTCGAGCGAAATAATCCAAACAAGGAAACGTTCATGTATATACCTTGTATCTCAAATCGTAAATCCCTTAGTACTAAATCCAAGATCTAATACAGGAACAATAATATAAAGAAAACTAATCCATCTCAGAACTCAAATACCATGTCATGTCAAATCCCACATAAGTGTCACGTCCAGCCTATGTAAGTGTAAGTGTCATACTCAAGGTTTAAAAATGAAAAGTGTAGAATATTGATGAGATATATGAAAATGATGCATATACACTAATTTCACAGTGTCTCGTAGCGCAAATCTAAACTCATATCTGCAAGCCATCTCACATATGAAGATACATAATAAACAATAATTTCTAACGCCAAATATTCGAGGTGACTCCTCGTTCACATTAAAGCACACAACAAAAGTAAACATGCACAAACTGTACCAGCGATCAACCGAAACAGCCAGAAACCCTTCACAGATTTTTATCTGCTTCAAAACAAATCTAGAAGCTGACATCATTATTTTTCAAGCATAATATTACTGATATCAACATATATGAAACAACATAAAATGAATTATTAGCATGTAAATATATCGTCGAAAACCTAAACATTTATATACACATGTTTAAACATTTTAAAAGCAAAAACTTACGATTTAATTCATGATTAATAAATTTTAGATCTGAAATTTGTCAAGGTTACTGTTATAATCAATTACAAAATTATGATAATGTATTCTCACTTCATAAGTTATAAAGATCTATCTTTTGTAAACTAAAAATACATTTTAGGCTCGAAAAATCCGAATAAAACTTAATAAAACATGCAAAATAAAAGGATGCAGAGTTGGGCGAGATGTTACTCACCTCAAATACTAAAAAACTCCTGCCACGTAAAAGAGAACCAATCACCTTCGCTGCACTGCACAAAACCCGCTAATAATCCTCCGAAATCCCTCAAAATCGCCAAAGAAAAGAACTAGGGTTTGAGAGAGGGGTAAAGGGGCTACTAGGATTTGGAATACAAGAGAAAAGAGGTGTTTTTTATGTTTAAACATGTGTAAATATGACAGCAAACCCAAAAAACTACAGCCTAAAACCCGAAACCCGAAACGGGAAACCCAGTCTGACTACAAACATACTCTTCGGTATTTTGGTTGTAACTTTCGCATCCGACTTTGGAATGAGGTGATTAAAGATTTTTTATAAAAAGATGACGATATCTAAAACTTTGGTCTTTTAAATTTTTCTATATTCACAGCGTATCAGTGTGTAAAATGCAAAATCTCTCTACTAGTTATAAATTTTTAGATTTACACATCGAGCATGATTTGTGCATTTGCTCTTATATATATACATATATACATTAAATTGATCTCAAATCAATTTCTAGCATACTCTAACATCATAATATGTTATTTATAAATATATAACATATTTATTATTATTTATCATAAAATATTCAAAATTTTGGGGTTTTACACATCAACAGTATCGAACAGGTCAATAACACTGCTTGGGGAACTATATATTCAGTGAGACATCTGACGTGATAGAGAGAGCACTGAAGGGTCCTGAGCCAGGGAAGACGACTTTATATTTTCAAGGGTGTACCCCGCTAATTTGTGTAAGTAATCATGTCTTTTATTACTAATTGTGATTTGAAAAAAATTAAAACGTGTTAAACTGCTAACTAAATTATTACGTTTATTAGCAAAAACTTAGTTCTCTCCTTTTTACAATTAGAAAAATTTAAAACATGTTAAATGGTAACGCTTATTAGCATTTAAAACATGTTAAACAGCTAGCTAAATTATTACGCGAGATTTGTGGATCTAATTGCGGAGCTAAGCGGTTATTTTTCCTCTATATAAACCAACAACTGCGAGGGCCAAAGGCACGACGAAATACAACTGCTCTTCTTCACTCTTTCAATATTTATTATTGCCATTATATTTTTGCTGGTTCCCTGAATGTTTACGAAGAATTCGCAAAACCTTCTTGAAGCTCGTGCCGACGAGAAGGAGGTCGCTTGACCGAAGGTTGTCGTATCTTCAAGATCCATTGCCATGAAGCCCTGTACGAGAGGGGGAAATTAGATTCTTAGGACAGTGCTTAGTGCACGCTTCGATCATCAGGCCATATTTCTAAACTTTATTTAATTTCGTTTGAATTAATTTTATTTCCGTGTTATAATTTTATTCGACTGATATCTAATTTTTATTAACTGTTTAAAACGTAATTTTTTGTTAATTATAGTCTAAATAGCAAATAATTTCCTAACATTATTTTAGCACTAAGAGCCCAAGTTTGGGTCTCATCGTCCCGACCACAGGCTATATAATAGTGGAGTTTGCCAAGTCAACCGAAGTATCGAAGTGTTAACCACATTGAGACGTGACTTGCTTATTCCCATTGCATATATATTTTGAAAATGTTGTATTATAATTTTTCTATTTTAGTATTTTGCTTATCAAGTCAATTTATTTTAGTTTTGCAAAACTAGTGTCTAATATATGAATTTATCCACTTATTGATTTGTGAACTCATTGTGTAGTTTTCATTCTTTTCAGAGACTCGAGATTATGTGGAATTGAGGATTTGTTAAACTCTTAGAACGGAGCAAGGAATATAATTCGAGATTGTTATTATTTTCTAGGTGAATGTTAAATAAAGTCTTGATGTTTAGTTGATGAATTAAGAGTTTTGTAATAATGAGTTTTTTCTTTTAGATCGAGTTTTATTTCAAGTTAAGGAATATTTGTTTTTATCAAGTTAATTGGATTAGTGTTGACTTTTGAGATTATAGAGAATATTTATTGTTGGTTTTAGTTCAATGAAGAGATTATTTTGATGGTCTTTTAATGAATGCATAATTTGGAGGATTCTTCACAGGTTTAGTTCGGCTTTAATATTCTTTTTAGGTTCGGAATTTGGGGACGTGACACGTCACGCTAGGAGTATTTGCTAGTATATAAATAAACCAATACTTTATGGTGGAGACACCAAGAATCCTGGCCACCATATGTGATATGAATGTGGGCATAAGCTTGAGGTGTGGTTTTTGTTTCTCCTTCTGCAGACAGAAGATAAATCATTTCGCATACTTTAGGATCAAAGTACTAGTTGGTGAGTTGACATGTCTTTCATCTGTATCTTTTGGTAACCGCAAAGGAGCCTTTCATGCACTAAACATCTATGCACTGTTGATATTTCCTGAGGTTCTAATAAGTAGGGAGACAAATAGAATCCTTAGCAGCTAAGCTCCACGATTTCATTAATGTTGATCCTTAGTGATGTGTCTAATATTTTTTTAGCTATATATTGATGCTTGATAATGTTGTAATGAATCTAAATTATTATAGGCGTATTGCACGAGGCACTATCACAAGTTCCCTATTGTTAATGAAGAACAGGAGAGACCTAATTACGTTGCGTTTCTCTAGTAGTTTATCTTCAGATGTAAATACTTGACCTGATTAAGTAAAATCAATACGTAATCAACTTCTTGAACATGGATTTTTGCTACCAAAAAAGAGAAGCCTAACACAGAGAAAATCAGAAAATTTAGCCAACCAATCGGTTTAATATTTGTCATCAATCGGTTTAATATTTGTCATGCCACTTTATTATAATTAGCATGCAAGCAAACGGTATAAAATCATAACCCTCAAGCATCCCTACAATTTGGAGCTCTGACATAGTATAATAGTCCTTTGGCGTGGTATCAAAGAGCAATTTGGGTTCAATTCCCACCAGACTCAAATTTAAAATGGATTTTACTAAAAATTGAAGCCCTATTACTTTTCTTTTTAAATTTTTGACAACGGACCCCTTAAATTGATTAGCCCTCTTGATCTATACAAAGTACCTTGAGATAAATTAACTGGTTCCCAAATAGTAATAAATTTGAAAGATAAAATTACAATTTCAAGTGTTGCGCTCTATATCAAAGGTGTTGCCTTTATAAGAAAAGTACTGCTTTCAGGGTCCTGATAAGAAGGCTACGTAATAAGGAAAATTGTTGAGTATAAAGAGAAACAAAAATCTACAAGGTTAATCAAAGCTCTCCACTTTCTTAACTTCAAATGATAGAGAGATTAGATCATTAAAGGTTTACTTTGAATTCCAAAGTCATCAAAAAATCCTTAAAATTGATGAGAAATTCAATGTTTGTGTGCTGTAAACAATAATGCAGAGATACTATTTTCTGTTGTTTTAATTTTTTCTAGAATTTTTTTATTTTTATTTTTTTAGGACTTTTTATAAATATATAACCTACAATACTTGTATGGGTATTACAGCCTGCATTAATAATCATTCAATAAAAAATATTATTTTTCCCAGCTCTGGACACAACTTATTATCTTCTTCCTAAAACCTCCACCTCTTCCTTGATGTATACATGCCAGATATTTGCTATGGTAGTATAATAAGCTTAATAACTTCACATTTAGCATTCACGTAATGATCTCTCTCTCTTCACATTTAGCATTCACGTAATGATCTCTCTCTCTCTCTCTCTCTCTCTCTCTCTCTCTCTCTCTCTCTTGATAAGCAATCCAGAATCGATCACAAGCGACAGTCGGGGTCATCTGCGGGATGTTGAAACAAATAAAGTTCTCTGCGTGATCTGACTTATAGATTAGAGCTACCTTGTTCGATGATATGAAACAACCCTGACATCCATGATTTTATCAATTATATAGATCACTGATGTCCAATGTTAGAAAACCCCTAACCCTTTTGCAAATAAACACAAATTGTCATAGACATGCAAAGTTGGACTCTGAAAATTATCAGCCAATCCTTTAAAATGCCGGTGCCAATAACAGATGTTGATGGGTACAGTTTTCTATATACTTCTCTACAAAATGGGTACAGTTTTCTATATATTTCTCTACAAACTAAGGAGATTAAGCAAAGAAACTCTGTTTTGGATCAGTCTCTTATACAAGCAGTCTAATCCTGACTCAAGACTTTCCAATTTAATCTCCAAGGATTCCAAACAATTCTGTGCCTCCAGCACTTGCATGCCATCAGCCTCCTTAGAGGCAACGCAATCATAAGAAGCTTGTAGCCACATGTCTGCACTTTCCTCTTCAATAGCACTCTCTTTGCAAGCAACTCTTTTCTTAGAGACAAGAGACCATCTGCTACCCTTTTGTTTTGGCTTCGACAAGAAAGAAACAACAGATTGAAGAAGGGAGATGGAGCTCATTCTTGCTTCCTCTGATGCCTTAACCAAAGTAGAGCTGTCTTTTTCTCCAACAGAGCAAGATAAAGATTTGTGATTCATCCGTACCAATGTTCTTCGACAATTCTTGAGCAATTTATGAATATTCTTGGTTGATAAAGCTTCGTTTCCTTTTCTCCTCAGTGAGGAATAAAGATCTTTAACATGCTCGCCCATGGAAACTATGCAACCCCTCACATTAACAATGAGATCCAACAACATAAGGGAGTCCTCAAGTTGCCCTTCAACTAATTTCTTTTGACCAGGATGGAGAGATTGCTGATTAGTAGGTAAGCGAATGAGCTCATCAATCAATTCGAACAAATCTCCAAGATTTCTCAATCCATCGCACACGAATTTTGTTGCTCTTGATGAAGATACATGAGCTCTCTGCTTGTGGAGTAGTTCTTCGACTCTTTGAACTGTAGGGTGAGATGTAGACGGCATGCTGTTAGATCGAATGTGGAAAGGTTGTTCGGTGATTTTAGACATTTTGTCAGATTTGAAAGAAAGAAATTTAGAAAGCTCTTAGAAATTGAGAGGATGGATGGACTTGGGTTGGTTCCTTTGGTTCTTGAAACTTGTATATATAAGCCAATGTCTTTGTGGGTTGAAATTAGATGGGGGGACAGCAAGAATCTTGGCTACCATGTGATATTAATGTGGACATGAACTTGAGATGAAGTTTTTGTATGGCTTTTTACTAACAGAAGTTGGATTAATTCACATTGTTTGAAACATGAAACAAGTGGGTAAGGTGACATATCTTTTAATTTTCTTCTGATTGTTGCTGTATTGCTTCAGAACTGGAACGGTGGCGTGCAAGAACTAGTCGGGGAGACAAATAGAATCCTTCACAGAGAGGCTCAACATTGATTTTGGATCTTGTACAGATTTCTCCAAACCTTTCTCAGTCATTTCTATTAATACAATAGAAAGTAGGTTCCACTAATGCTTGATAATGATATAATCATCATGAGTTGTTGAAGCATTAAATATTTATCAGATATGTATTTGCCACGAGTTAGAGCAGAAAATATGAGATTATCTGATGACACTCTTCATGAAAGGAGAGATTAAAGAGCCGGCAAAATTAAAATCAGGAAGGGCTGCATATTGATAACCTGTCAGAGTCATCAAAATCTACTTCTTCAATAGGATTTTCTCTCTTACGAGTGGATGTCAACCCGCAATATTTTCTATAATTTTTATTTGGGGAAATGAAAGAAAGCTTCATCACCAAGTAGAGCACTGTATAAATGTTAGGATACACCCTGATAATAACACCTCGAACGGAGACGTAATACACAAAATAAAGACACAATATTCAACACAGTTATACTCACAGATATACGTGGTTCACCCCTTCGGAGCTACTCCACGGTACAACGACGACGCCAAATTCTATTATATCCCAAAAGAATAGATTAAAGAGAACACCCTCTCTTGATCAGATACACTCCAAAAACTCTCACAACTCTCTTTGTGTTTTCTCTCTTACTCTTCTATAAGAGAAGTTGTTTCTGGGATGAGATTTCCTTAAGAGTTTAGGGCCCAATTTATAGTGCTTGGAAAAACATTATGCACTAATAAAATATTATTGGTGAGACCCACCACTAATAATATTTTACTATGGGACATACCATCTTTTTCCTTCTTCAAATCTTTCGGCCACCGAAACCTTGATTGTCAAAAAGAGGTGGCGGGGGTGGATGGCTGGGTCAAAAGAGGCGGCTGGCTAACAATCTCCCACTTGAAGATTTGATTGAGTATCAATCACATCTTCACAGCCTTCTTGGTTGCATCATCCATATGTCTTGTATCTTTGGCGTCTTGCACGACCCTCAACATTCTCAACGGAGGCCATATGAGGCTGCACACAGCCTCACCTTCTCGAGCGGAACTGGCTTGGCCAGCATATCGGCTAGATTGTACCTCGTATCAATCTTCACAAGCTTGAACTCGTTCTTGCTTTGCCATCTCCGTATGGCATGGTGCTTCACATCTACATGCTTGGTCCGAGCATGGAATGCGTCATTCTCTGACAAGTGAATGACACTCTAACTGTCGCAGTGGATGAAGTATTTCTCAAAGCTTACTCCAAGCTCGAGAAGAAAAGCCTTCAACCATAGCAACTCCTTTGCTGCCTCTGCTGCAGACACGTACTCGGCTTCGGTTGTCGACAAAACCACAGTATCCTGTAATTTGGATCTCCAACTTATCGCTCCATCACCCAAGATGAAGATGTAGCCGCTCGTGCTCCTTCTTGAGTCTATGTCCCCTGCGTAGTCTGCATCACAAAAGTCCTCTAGCTGCAAATCTGCCCCGCCATACTCAAGACAACGGTCGGACGAGCATCTCAAGTAGCGTAGAAGCCACTTGACCACACCCCAGTGTTGTTTCCATGGATTGCTCATGAAGCGACTCACAACTCCCACTCCTTGTGAAATATCTGGCCCCGTGCACACCATCGCATACATCAAACTCCCGACGGCAGATGCGTATGGTATGTTGGCCATGAACTCATGCTCTTCAGCAGTGTCTGGTGCTTAGGTCTTTGATAGCTTGAAATGACTCGCAAATGGCGAGCCCACTGGTTTAGCTTTCTCCATGCTAAACTTTTCAAGAATCTTCTTAATGTAGGCCTTCCGAGACAACCTCAGCCTCCGTGCTGATCTGTCTCTGATGATCCTCATCCCCAGAATCCGGTTTGCTGGACCCAAATCCTTCATCTCGAAGCACTCGGAGAGACGCCCCTTGAGTTCTTCAATGCGGGCCAAGTCGGGCCCTACAATCAACATGTCATCAATATAAATTAAGAGTATCACATAGGATTCGCCGTATCTCTTGATGAAGCAGCAATGGTCTGTGTCGCATTTGAGAAAATCGTTCTCCTCCATAAAGTTCTCGAACTTCATGTACCACTGTCGTGGAGCTTGCTTCAGGCAATACAAGCTCTTGAGCAGGCGACACACGAGGCCCTCTGTTTGTGGGAAATTTTATAGTAAAAGAAATGAAGAAAATTCGATTTGTATTCCTTTAATCTCAGTTATAATTGGATTTCCTGATTACAAAAGAGAGGAGAATGAATTTGATTCTCCCCTTTGTTTAATTCTGAGTTCTTCACGGTGGCGATGGAGTGCCTCCCTCGAATGCTCGCGTCGAGTTTGCTCTCCGTTGACGATCCGAACGTCTTGATTCACTGGAACGTGGTCTTCTCCTCATGATTTGACGTTGTGGAGAACTTGCAAAGCAAGTTTTAGAACTCTTGATGAGTTGATTGATCTTAACCGTAATTGGTTAGACAAGCCAAGGATCTCTTTTTTGCTGCCCCATAGCCGGCTCCAAAAGCCCGCCCCGAACTGAGCTGATTTCTTAGTTATTTATAAGGGATTAAAGGGTGTAACCTCCCCCCTTAATTCGCTCCTAAGTGGGGCTAATGGGATGTAACCGCCCCTTAAATCACTCCTGAGTGGAGTTGTGATCCCCTCAGATCGTGGGAAACGGTTTTGAAACTGTTCAGCTCGTGTTTGAATGAGTCAAACGCATAATCCGTGTTCTGGTATGAATTCTGCGTTCATACGCAGTGTCTGGAAGCTCAGACGCAGTAATTTGGAAGCTGCGTTGGCAGCGTTAGAAGCTGCTCGTGAGCTGCGTTTGTAGTAATTTGGAATCTGCGTTTGGCAACTTGGAAGCTGCGTTTGGCAGCGGATTGAAGCTGCGTTTGGCAGCGGATGGAAGCTGCGTTGGCAGCTTTCGGAGGCTGCGTTTGTGGCTGAACATGAGCTGCGTTGACAGGTGGATCTGAGCTGCGTTTGCAGTGTTTAGAGCTGAATGTGAGGTGTGTTTGCAGCCAGGTTTGACCGGCGTCCGCAGTCGAATTGGTGTTGCGTCTTGATGATGGTACGCAGGGAGGACTTCCACGTCTTGGTTTGCGAATTGGTGTTGCGTCTTGATGATGGTACGCAGGGAGGACTTCCACGTCTTGGTTTGAAGAGACCGTCGATTTGTAGTCTCCCACGTCTTGGTTTGAAGAGACCGTCGATTTGTAGTCTCTTTCTGTCAGAGCGTTGCAAAGATCATTGTCTTGTAATTTTCATCTTGGATCCTTGAGAATATGAGAGTCGTCAGATTGTAACTCTCAATGTTGATTGTGAAGGCTGTTGATTAGAGCTTTTATCAGTTGTTGTGAAGGTCGTCAGATTGTAACTTTCATCGATCTACGTGAAAGTTTTTAAATTGTAGCCTTTTGGAAGTTGTCAGATTGTAACTTCCATGATCCGTGTTTGATGGGGAATTAGCTATCTATTGTGATTTTTAGACAACCTACACCCTCCTTGCCTCGTTCCTCGAAGCCCACTGGTTGATTCATATAGATCTCCTCCTCCTAATCTCCATGAAAGAATGTCGTCTTCACATCCATCTGCTCCAGATGGAGATCTCGAACTGCCACAATGCTCCGCACAGTTCGGATCATGGTCAACTTGACGAGGGGTTGCAAAAACATCAGAATAGACTATCCCTGCTTTCTGCTCATAGCCCTTCACTACAAGCCTCGCCTTGTAGCATCTCCGTCCATTGGCTTCATCCTTGACCCGATAAATCCACCGATTGTGAAGAACCTTTCTCCCTCTTGGAAGCTTTACGAGCTCCCAAGTCCTATTCTTCATCAAGGACTTCATTTCTTCCTCCATGGCAGACTCCCACTCGTCCCGAGCTTTGCCGGTCTGTTGTACCTCTTCATAGCTCTCTAGCTCACCACTGTCAGTCAGGAGAAGGTAATTTATGGTAGAAAGGTACCTCTCTGGCACCCTTGGGTTTCTTGGAGCTTTGCGAATTGCGATCGGCAACTCTGCTGGATCCTGCTGCTGTGCATATTTCTTGGAGCTTTGCGAATTGCGATCGGCAACTCTGCTGGATCCTGCTGCTGTGCATCCGACACGTTCTCTTGGTCTCCCTTTGCGAATTGCGATCGGCAACTCTGCTGGATCCTGCTGCTGTGCATCCGACACGTTCTCTTGGTCTCCATCTTCTATGCTAATTGGTATCTTACTGTCATCCTCACTGTCAGCAATATCTAGGAAAAGAGATGGAGATAGCTGACTCCCACTCACCTCTTTGGTCTTGTACACCGCATTCTTATGGAACACGACGTCACGACTGCGCACCACCTTGCGCGCATCGTGATCCCAGAAACGATACCCATACTCATCTCCTCTATAGCCGATGAAAGAGAGCTTCTTTGACTTTGGATTAAGCTTTGACCGTTTTGTAGGATTGGTCATGACATAGGCGTCACAACCAAATACTCACAAGTGTTCTAGCTTCAGCTTCTTTCTGGTCCAAGCCTCTTCAGGTATCCTATAATTGAGAGCCGCGGATGGACCACGGTTGATCAAATATGCAGCAGTATTGACAGCTTCGGCCCAAAAACTCTTGGGCAATCCGGAGTGGATCCTCATGCTTCTGGCGCGCTCCAAGATAATGTGATTCATGTGCTCCGCCACTCCGTTGTGCTGAGGTATGCCTGGGATGGTCTTTAGTCTTCTAATCCCGTGGGATGAGTAGAAGTTCTCAAACTCCTGGCTGCAGTACTCACCTCCATTATCAGATTTTAGGCACTTCCGCTTATTGCCAGTTTCGTTCTCCACACAGGCAAACCACTTCTTGAAGATGATAAAAACATCTGACTTGTGCTTCAAGAAGAACACCCATAGTTTTCTCGTAGCATCATCAATAAAAGTGACAAAGTAAAGAGAGTTACTAACAGATGGGACTTGCGTA